ATCGCTTGTACTACGACAGCATAAGCCGTATCGGTCTCGACAAAATCTTTCAGTTCTGCCTTCCTCGTGCCATCGGTGTCCGGAGTGTCATGGTATGTCACCCATTCGTTGATCGGTCTCGACTGCACTTGACCGATTTGGTGAGCGGGATCCTGAAGGACCAGTTGTTGGCAAAAAACGAAAATCTTGGTTGGTTGAATGACTTACCTGGTCGTCCAAAGGTGTATAATAGACAATATATTTAGGTGAATATTTCCATTCGGAATCAATGGAGGATCCCACTGTACCGATATGGTTACTGGTTTGTCCGCGTGAAGCTGGACGTTTTCTGGTGCAGTTCCCGGCCCTGTAATTCTTATCTTGATGTTCCTGATGCCATTTGTGCAGCGAAAAGACTCTCATCTGGACCTGTCACATAGGTGCAAGGCATTGGTAAAAACCTCACCTGCCACAAATACGGTGAAGTCGGTCTCCTTGAGGCCTCCTCTGTTTTCAGCCAAACATTTCGCTTTGATGGTTCTTCTCACGTCAATTAACTTCAACTGTGGACCATCGGAAAGTTGCTAAAGGGATTAATTTAGCGTTCTATACATGTAAGCCTCTAAGGAGCTGCATTTAAAAAGTGATTACATTTCCTTCGCTGTCCACCCAGCGAATGTCAGGCGGAGGGAAGCCCGTAGAACTACACGTAACTATGTAGTCTGTGCCAGCTGGGACACGAATCACGTTGTCGGGAGCATCGACGTTGAATTCTGGTTGCGATGGCATAATAACTGCAAAACAGACGCCGTTAAAGATATTCAAGACGAAAAGCATAGCAAACCCTTCATCAGATGACCTCAATTAACTTCCCCTCAAAAGAGCCTCTGTTTTGATACCTGTCCTGAGACTTGGGTTCTAAGTACGTGGGTGGTCGGCATACCCGTGTTTCGAAGTGCCGGTAAGCTCCCATGACCCCGCAAGTGGCGCTAAGGGCACCATGGCCGACTGGTGCTGGCTTACACTGCAGCGTTTATCCCATACATCTCTGGTCAGAGCGCTCATAGCCTCTTGTGACTTTACCGTTAGGGTCGAGTTTCAGTCGTCACAGTATCATTCCTAACTCTTTTGCTCATGTTCTGGAGGAAGCTGCTCGCCTGAACGACCTTCTGTGCTTTGTGTTTTTGTTAGTATTCACTAATTTCTTTTATGTGTTAACTAATCATCGGGTTTTATGGCAGGTTATTTTAGCAATTTTCCGTTCATTCCATTGTTCTTTTTTGAGTCTGCATGATGATTTCGCATACAGCCAAATGCTTCAACATGGCGCGTCATTGAACGCATAAATAAATAAACTACTCTAGCTCAACGTTTTGCAAAGCATTAGCGGTTGCGGCCTCACAAGAGAAGGTCAGTAGGTCAACTGGCCAATTAAAATGAGTTTTAGGCCGTAGTATCTTGAAGCTGAGTTGAGCTTGAAACTGCTCTTCATGTCTGGTGAGCGATCTCCTAAATGGAGCTATGAAGTGGAAAAGCGCAACGGTAGTGGTCCGAGTTTACGGGCAGGAGATCTTTATCATCGTAACTTGGCGTTGTTGATGTTTTTGCCGCGCTGTCACCCCTTAACTACAATATAGTGCCCTTAACCGTCCTAAGCCCTTCTTACAGGTGTCTGCAGGCAAAGTTGATGAATTCAAGGTGTCTCTATCCGATATGAATACGATAGTAATGTTGCTGAAGCGAGATTTGACCTCGGCGATCTAGCATGGCTCACTCTTGGCGCGGTTGGCGGGGTACGCCCACCGACTATCTAATCACTCGCCGCAGGTCTATACGTGGCGAGTGATTAGATAGCAGAGAGAGCGTAGTGTTGAAGAGGGCACAGCGATGAGAGTCGCATCAATGCGCAAATCAACGGCAAGGAAGGGGTCCCATTTCTCGGGTTTCGGGCCGTTTCAAATGGTTTCTTCTTCATCCCTGCTCCACTGACCACCTCTACCCTTATTTCCAATGAGCTAACTTTTCATCGTAAATTCTGCCTTTAAATCCCTTATCACATTTTCAGCTTCCGTACCAGGTGTGATATAGTGGATATGTACTTCTTGAAAGGAAAGTAACATCAAGTATTTTCCATTAAACAGCCTACCAGACCGAGAAAATGACAAGGTGAACACTGTTGAAGGCATGTACTCTAAGGAGCTGCATTTCAAAAGCGATTACATTTCCTTCGCTGTCCACCCAGCGAATGTCAGGCGGAGGGAAGCCCGGTAGAACTACACGTAACTATGTAGTCTGTGCCAGCTGGAACTCGAATCACGTTGTCGGGAGCATCGACGTTGAATTCTGGCTTGCGATGGCATAATAACTGCAAAACAGATACCGTTGAAAGCTATTCAAGACGAAATGCATAGCAGACCCTTTCACTCCCAGATCGACCCGTCACGCTTAACTTACCGCCTCGAAATAGTCTCTTTTCTGATACCTGTGCCCTGGAGACTTGTTCTATACTAGAGTGGGTGAG